ATTTTATTACTTTAACTTAGGTTTAATTATTCCTCTTGTTATAAAACGGGCCTATAATGTAGAAGTGGAGTCAAAATGAGAGGTATAATCCATTTGAAAACCCCCTTGGTCACAGCAACCTTCTATTTATTAAACAGAGTGCTTGATTAGTTTCAGGTACATCGTATTCCTTATTATCTTTTCAAAAAGAGAGGAAAGATGAATGATATGACAACTATGTAAGGGATAGAGCAAAGGGGGGTGTAACTCAACTGAGACAGCTGGTGCAGTTGGAATTTTTACATTATTTGCTACTGTCAGCAAGCGTTACCTTAAAGTTTCCTCGCTGACAAACGACCAACCCCACTGTCACATTGGCGCTCAGGCCCTGATTGATTAGTAGTGACAGAAGAGGGAACTGACTCCAAACGACTAATGGCCCCGACAAACCAAACCAACCGCTAGGAACTAGAGTCAGCAAAGACGAACAGATGCATCACATCTGCCAGATGACAAGCCTGTTGTGGTTCTAACCTTCAAAGTACAAAGAAAATATCTATCAAATATGAGGCATTATATTGGACGTTAAAAAAAACATTTAACGCCAAGTAAGCCGGTTCGAACCCTGAGCCAGCCGAAAATGTCAGGCAATGTCCTCGTCTCCGTCTCCCACTTTAATCTCTTAACCTCCAATAAAAGGCCCTCTGGCCAAAAATACATTTTAGTTTTACAGGCCACATTACTGCTACTACTAAGAGCAGCAGCCAAATAAAGATAAATAAATAGTCAAAGAAAAACAAGGAACGGCAGGAACCACAATAACACTCGATGGCGACTGGCGGCTTTATGTGGGGGTTTCCGGGTAATGAGTTAACTTATTACTTTAAGTAATAAAGAAAAGGAATTACCGTAGCAATTTTTTTTTTAAATAACGCATACACTTGTGTAAATATCAAAAACAAAATGTGAGCAGTTTCTGCTTCTGCTTGTATTTATTCTACAGTAAAATGATTATCTCCGAGTGTTAGATTGTTGTTAACTGTGACGTTCTTTCATCACTGTCTTCTGACATTCTATCAATAACATAATGATACTTAGCTGGCAGCAAACATGTATAACTTTAACAAATAGAAATACGTATCCCATAGCAGTAAAAATGAATTCAGAAGTTGAAACTTGCCGTTACAGTAAATCAAATCTCTATTATCCTCGCAAAATCATTAAAAAAAATGATGTTCTACTCAACATGTGTAGCATAGAGTGCAACATGAGAATGTTAAGTATGTGTTCACTAAAAATGTGCCTTCGCCTGCTTGACAACATGCTGCGTGTGCCGTGATGGATTGTGATGGATCATAAAATCTGACATGTTTAAGACATGGGGTTTATGGGTGCCATAGTCTGAGTGGGAAGAGAGAGGGCGAGGAAAATAAAAAAAACGACCATCATCAGAGCTGTAAAACCCGCCCAGCTGCAGTCTTTGATCCTCCCCTCCAGCTCTCCTGCCTGACACCAACACCTGAACACACCACAGAGTCACTCACCACGCATAGCTCACAAAGCGACGCTCATTTCCCTCGCAGCTTCAGGCAAAAAAGAAAAAGGGCTTAACAGATTTGTTTGTTTCCATCTCTGAGGTAATGGCTTCAGTTTATCAATGAGCAGTGACGTCCTGAATGCAGGAGTGTCTTTAATACAGTCATCACTCGTGGTTATACCCCAACTTTCAAAGTTAATGAGCAGAGAGGATGCATCAATAACACGGGCTTAACAGATGTGACTGTTCCATGTCATTTACTCTGAGGTTCATCATGGCCATGTCAAGGTGCCAGTCCTAATACTGACCGTGTCCAACGGGAAGCCGTCTGAAGCAGTCTGAAGCAGGCAACTTAATAAAAGAGCTAACAGCATCTACATTCAACAACTATTAAACAAAATAATCAGTAGATTAATCGATCATTTGAAAATATTAGGTGTTTTCAGCCCTTTTTTCATTTTGTGATTAGGAACCAGAGCTGAACAATTACTCAAAATGATACATGGACTAAGAACATCGTTTCCAAAGAAATCTGCGGTTAATCAGCCAATCATTTAATTGGAGCTCCAAACTGAAAAATGCTTCATAACAGATGTTTTTTTATTCATTTTTGTAACCATATATTTAATTTCAACACGACATGAACTTCCACAAGAAGAGGAACAACCAGTACATATAGAAAAAGGATCTTCTCTCTCTTTTTGTTTAATATGTCAAACTGACATTACTTTTGAAAACCGTTGCCATGGTTATAAGGAAACAGGTAACGAACAGATTCTTTTGCAGCACAGGATGGTTTCTATGAATATCTTTAAAGAACAAATACCAGGCCAGGTCAGGCTGCTCCTTGGTGATCTGGTGAATTGTAACTGAGGTTATTTAACAATTTGACAAAAAAATCCAGCTCAGGGTTATAAGTTATGAAGCAGGTTTAATAAGAAGAACAACTGCTTTCAGTAAAAAATCTGGAACATCTGTTTTTACTTCAGTCCATGTTTCACATTTGAGAGCTCAAGGCTTTATGCAGCATTTATGCAGCAAACTTTATTGAGCCTTCTTCATGAGACAGGCCCCTGCTCTGCCATTTTTCCATCTTAAACGCTGTGTCAAGACTACCTCATCAAACCAGCTCTAGTCAGACAAACAATATCTGTTTTCCCTCCCTCAAAATATCATTAAATGGTTTGCAGCAACTTGCTGGGAGCAACCAAACCACACAGCTTCTCGTCTACTGGACGCAGTTCTGTAAGTACTCGGGTGTGATTATTTTGTCTGGAGTCCTGGGTGTCCACAGGCAATACATAGTTAAAGGTTTAAAGTAAGATTACTCACTAGTCTGCGTGCTATGATTCAGAGCACACATTGCATTCCTGGTCATGACCAGAAACACCATATGGTGCAAAGCAGAACATGGTTCCCTGGAAAGTGCTGAGCCTGTTATTAAACATCTGCAATGAGAGCTGCTTGTATTCAGTTTATATGGATTTTTTTTCCACTTTCTGAAAAAGTAAAGGCACACTTTTAGCATCCTTACATTCCTCATGAAACTTTGTTTATAAACCTAATTTAGTGCAATGTCACACTTAAGCCTGACAGTATAAAAGGTACATTTTGCAATCTGCCAATTACAACTCAACTACTCCACTGCACTTCTTCAAAACAAGTATGGAGGAATAGATGATCCTATAATGTGGTTTGATGTTACATATAAAACAATATTGATATATAAACTAGTATTTAAGTATGACATAGGTACGTACATTTGTTAATATACTTTGAAAGTTGTTTTTTAAAGAGTTTGGGGCTGAAAGAAGGATCAGCCTAACCTAACAGCAACACGTAAGAGTAAGTACAAAAACTTACATTGAACCCTAAAACGGATATTCATTGCTATACAAACCTTTAGTCCTGCTGAAGACTTCATAATTTAAAAAGTCAGACATTTCTTTACAGACAATATAAAAGGATCATTTGTTTGCACTGAGGTCAAACAGGAAGAGATAGAAAAGTGAATTGTACTAAAGCAAACAGGAAATGTTACATTGCCTGCTCTGTGCCTGGCAAGCAAGAACGATTTTAATAATCCAAACCTTTTACAGAAAGTGTGTTGACTGGAAACTTATTTTAGCTCAATCCAACTCTTGTCAGTCAGAAGATAATAATCAAACCGTGTCTGGTGTTTGGGAATTGTAACCGTTTTGATCCAGGCGTTGATTATTTGACATATGAGCAGCTTGATGCCAAATAGTTACAGCGCATAACAAATAACCAGGTTTTATTCTCACCTTGCACCTACACTGTCCTCAAATTAAAAAAAGTTGGTAAGAAAAAGGAAGATTATTTGTGTCTAAACTTTTAGATTGTTCTAAATAGAGAGTTCAAATGCAATGCCATGTGTTTGAGGGGGATTTTATAATCCAAGTCATACACATTTGAGTTCACGCCCACAGCTCAACTAAAGTTCACTCACATCTTCCCAAGTTGACTCACACCACACTCCCCCACTGCCGAGTCCCTGTTGGACACCGCTGTCTACACATATGGAAAGTTTTTTTTCAGCCTTTACATATAGATCTGTAGCATGAACGAGCAAACAAAATGTTTTTGTTATAGATTACCATTCTCCTATGAAATTGGGACAAAGTTCTAATCATACTATGTTTCAGCGACTTTTTACACAATTGCTCAATATGTGCTATTCTTTGTCAGTCAACACTAAAACCACGTTGTTAGTCATTTGTAGCCCTTTTTACCCTTGTATGTTTTATAACATTTTGAATCTGTTCCTGGTTTTAGATTCAGTTGTGACTTTAGACTGTGACTTAAGACTATTGTCATAAATGGTTCAGTAACAAGTAAAGCACCAGAATTAAAGATATATATATTGTTGCGACATGCATGTGTGATCAGTACATTTGAAAGAGCTGTAAAGGATCCTTTGTGACAATAAAGCACAGACTAGATGTAATTTACTGGTGATCATCTTACCCTACAGTCACACAACAGCCTGACTGAAACTGGCTTATCATACAATTTGGAACTACTAATAATTTAGTATTAATAGATTCATGTGTATGTCTTGGGAATGACGAAAGCAGATGAAATTGTGGGGAAAGGACAAGCTGTTCTCCCACTGAACATTACTCTCTGGCAACTAAGCCAACAGGAAACCCCAATAAAATGAACTATAAAAGTGATAAAGAATCATAAATAACTCATATAATCATAAACGAGCACACATTAACAAGTCAGAGATTATACAGTGAGGAACAGCAAGTCGACCTCCTTTTAATGCAATCTTTAAAGAGGCGGATGCATCCTGCAAAACATTTGCATAGTCAAAATGTAGTTGGCTTCATTCTCCACACATGAAGCTAGAATCACCCCTGGTCTAAAGCGCCATAGTTCTTTGAGCTTTTAATCAAACCTAACCATTATACTACTGCAAATGCATAAAAGCCAAAAAGTGCATCTTAGTACTCACATGTCCTTGATTGATGAACCCATGTTTATTTGCGATTAGATCAGCTCCCTCCTGACCTCCAGGTATGTGGACAGCCCATGTGTTCGTGTAGACCTTCTCACACAGAACCGGTTCCAGCCCAGAAACCAGGAAGACCAGCAGAGGCCCGAGTAGCAGCTCCTTCAGCCGGAGCCTGCGGCCAACAGGGGGACATGAGGGGCCAGACGCCATGGGTGCTCGTAGCGCAGCACAGTCTCTGAGCACAGCGCCTCTCCGACGGGCCGGGGCTGCCCACAGTACACGCAGGTGCACGGAGAGACAAAGAAAGGGGGCAGTCACAGCTCACCTGACAGGAAAAAGAGAAGAAAAGAACACAATAGAGAATAAACATCTGCTATGTTTAGAAAGCTGTGTAAAAGGCAGACAGTTGTGAGTCATGAAACTGTTACATGGAAGAAGACTATGTACTATGAAATGACAGGATTAGAGCTACGATCAAACCTGAACCTACATGAACCTGCATAGTTTCTGTATGAGCCCGACCCGAGTGACAGCAGTTGTTTATGGACTGAGCCCATATTAAAAAGCCGCATTTCCACTGTTCAAAATGCACTACAAGCTAAGTCAAATAAAGTAGTTTTGTGACAAAAATGTTCAACACAATCCAGAAAGTGTTTCCTCATTAATGAAAGGTGGGATTAGGAGTCTCTGCTTCAGGGAAAGGATTTTCAAAAAGCAGCGATGTTGATATTCAAACTATGCATAACATTAGATTATTGATTATAGCACTAATAGCGCTTGTGTGTCCTTTATCAAATCAATTCTTAATCGACTAACACTCAATCCACAATTGTGTCGACTAAACCAATAATTGATTAATCAAAAGATCTGTATATAGGTTGTCTTTTTTAGAGACGAGCTGAAAGGTTTGTGGAAATCCTTCATGAAAAAAACCCCCCAACAATTACTTATGACTCAGGATTTCATTTTCGACTAAGACCAATAGTTTACCAATTTAGGGATAACAAGGGATAAACAAACAAGTAGAACTGGAAAATGGGCGCTAACCACACCAAGCCCGGAGGAATTTCTAAAATGAAAGCCCGGCCAGCCCGAACCAGGCAGGTCCGACCAGTTTCACAGAGGGAATCAAAACGCTATAGCTTCAGGGGAACTATTCATATTAGGCCAACAAAGAACATTTGTTCGAAATGAGATTTAGTTTTTCCCTCAAGTGGCTTCAATGTATGATTGAATGGGGAACAGATACAGGGATAGAGGAATAAACTGTGAAGGTTTTCAGATCTCAAGATAAATGAAAACAGACTTGTTGAAATGGCTAACATTAATCAACACTATCGAGTTATATATGATCTGTTTTGACCATGAGGAAAAACAGCCACACCAACACTAGTCTGGAGCAGGCGTACTGCAGCCAGGCTAAGTACAGGCATCTGATAATCCCACAGGAAGCAGCGAGCAGGACGCCAAGGCCAGGCCTGATGTTGTGGTCAGACACACAGCAGCAAAATCTGGCGTTTACACTCCCGTGGGAGGGTAGATGAAGCTCACGAAAGGAAAATGCTTAGGTGTACTGAGTTGCATGCAGAGGTGGAGAAGTGTGGTTGGAAAAGCCAGACCTCTCCTTGGAAGCTGAGGGATCGCAGCAGGTCAGCCTCACTACGACGTGGAGTTTAAATTACTGAGACAGCCAGCCGCTGAATGGCTCCGGCCAAGGAGAGAACGTACACACTTAAAGTGTCAGAGAATAACATTTCACTGCAGCATACAATGCACTGATTTGAGTGTGGGTATGTCTTTGGAGTGAGCCTACACATATAGGAAGCCATAAGAACACCTCTTAATAAATGCCATTTATAAGACAAAGCAATATATCATATGATAGTATAGATACAGAAGCCAGAGCTCATGGTGTAATTGTTTCCTGGTGCAATGTAGCCTCTAAACTGTTGTTTGGACCGAGGAGGGTCAGCAGCGCCTTCAGTCTGTTGACACTATTACTCAAAGTGCCATCTCTATTGTAGCCCCTGAGATGACTGGAGTTCTCTGAATAAAGTGCTTATTTTTCTTGGTTTCCTCCTTCTTGCAGTGACATTGTTCTTCTGCTTCAAGTCTCTTTAGTTTTCTCATCTTTCTGCAGGTGTCAGACTTGTATAAAACAGCCCCTGTCCTGGGATAGCTATCGTATGAACAAAAAAACTCAAATTGAACTCGCTGTGCCACTACTCCACATGAACAAACAAGCTCTCAAATTGCTCCTGAAAAGTTTGTTGTGAAGAAAGAATGATGTGTTTAGAGGCAGCTGGGACGTTCATCATTAATAGTTTATTGTTCATTCAGCGGCTGTTTCTTAATTGGACTAAATCTATTCACTGAGACGCTGATACATAGACAAACTACAAGGGTACCGCGGCTGAGGCTGTTCCCATAAGCGAATAATAATGTGTGTTACTGCACCATGATTCAGATCTGCTCCAAAATGTAATGGGTTCTTCTTCTAGGCCCGTGCTGCACCACGGTTAATGAAATCGGCCAGTCGTTTTTCCCTAAGCTTGCTGACAAACAGACAAATTAACAAACCACACTGAAAACCTAACCTCCGTGGCAGAGCTAATAAATTCACAAAGCTTTTAGTAAACCCGCGCCCCATTCCTAAATGTTCAGCTATAACAGACAAGGATTTTGTTTGAACAGATTAAATACCTTGACAGGTATTTTTGCACAACATGTACAACTCCAAATTCAGTTTGTTGGTTGGAATAGGGCTGCTGTTCTGTGTTCATTTACATTTAAATAACAAGAAACATGAGGCGAAAACCTGCATTTTTAACAATGAGCTTCCATTAAATGTCACAGCCAATTTATCTCAGTAGGCAACATTTTGTTATAAATGGTCTAATGGAAGAATTACTCTCTCTTCTGTTGAAATCCATCTGATGTTCCCGTCAGGCTGGTTACTCAGAAATTCCTTCCTTGATGAGATCACGTCTTTCTTTTGCTTATGTTGTTGAAACAAATATAGCTTCTGTGAATCACTTCCATTATAAGTGGCATTTATACTTATGTGGTTACTACATTTCACTCTTATTGTTTGCCAACAAACCTAAAATGTGTTTTCCAAATGAAGCGCTGCTTTATCAGTGGCGATACAAATCAATGTTAGAATCCTAATGCAATATCCTGACCCATGTGGAAATATTATAAGACGTAAGGTGAGAAAGATACAACCTAACACTGTTTTAAAGACTTGATGACTAGAGTAACAGAGGAACGTCTAAAGGGTTAAGAGAGAATTTATCCAATGTGTTGTGAAGCCACAGGTAGCTGCATCGTTAGCGGTCGGCCTGACTGAGTTGGTACGGCAAGCTGCTAATCCGTACAAGCATTTCAGCAAAATATGTTAATTTCATTTATATGTGGATAACAGCTAGTCGCACAACAGAGACTACTATTTAATAAAACAAACACCACGTATATTTAACCAAGCAGATCAAATCGGGTGCCGTGTCTCTCAAAGTAACACGCAAATCCCTCCACCGCGTTTTAATTCTACCTTCCAGCTGAGTTAAGCCTATTTAAACACATAAACACAAACAAATCAGCCTACATTAAGAAGCATGGATCCAAACACAGCATTAATTACATGTTTACTTTTGTCTATCATCTGCTCAGTTCCCACTGAAATTGAAGAGAAACACAAGGTGGCTATTTAAAGAAATCTAAAGTAATAAGATTCAGATTACATTTATTGTCTATTACAATTTCATAAAATGGACATTTGTCTTCTGTGATGCCATAGGACGACAGCATACACAACAATAATGCCCAATGAAATCTTAAACTGAACAAGTGGCAGTAACAAGGAATGAGTGAATTGTTATTCTATTGGCATGCAAGTCCATCCAAACATCACAAAAGTGCATGATCCTGAGTTAGTATGTAACAATAAATAAAACAGATAACAATTTAATTCAGTCAAAAATTAAAATACAGCAAACAATTGAAAATAAGCCAAAAAGAAACAAAGACAGCTTGTGATAAATCTGTTGGCACAACTCACTTAACTTTGCCCTCTGTCCTTCGATGCCACAGGTAAACAGAGCGAACGGTTCCAAACCTCTGTTTGATTTCCAGACACACATCGACTTATAAGCTCTGACGGCTGTGACCTCATCAGGGCGCTCAACCACTCAGTTTCTTTAACGTCAGCGTGAAAACCACACACCATGGAGCAACTACTGCCCAACTCCTTTATTGTTCCCGAGGAACAGAGGAGAAGCCGACCGTCGCACTGCGAGTGCTCTTTAGTGTTTCCACGGTAAATGATTCCATATGGCAGACTGCGATAACAGAGGTTATAACACACAGAAACTACACCAAATTATAATTAGCCAAGTATCATTAAACCCAAAAGGATAATACCAGCCTCATTACCGCACTCATCAGGATGTTTTTAAAAGAAAACCGTTTACATCTCATCAGTTTATTTTTACATTTTAATGAGATATAAATTAGCTTTAATGCAATTAGCCAATATGAACCCTTTTCCACACACAAGTTTATTTTAATCACCTGTTCACGCATTGTGACAGACATAAATTCAATATCACAGAGCGAGCGCTCAGATAGCCCACTGAGATTTAGAATAACAAGCTGAGTGTGTGTGGCAAACTGCTGAAATAACACTGAAGTTAAATGAATATGCCATAATCAACACTTACAAATCCCACATTGCATTAACAGCTAAATTATTCCTCAGTTCCTAAATTGTGACAGTGATGTATTCTCATGGCAGATAGTATAAAACGGGGTTCATTACTACAGCACCAATAACATCATCATCACATAGAAAGTGTCATACAGACAGCAGAATACGCAACACCTAATTTCCTTCCCTTCAGAGTAACTATCCATGTGTGGAGGCACTAATATTTCACTATGATTAAGGTTAATTACATAGAGGTTTTACAGCCAATGTGCTAGACAAAGCCTCAATTTTGCAAAACATGGTCTTTATTGTAATTGCCAGCAGCAACTCAACATTCAGACCATTATTATAACAAAGAAAAGGTATTAAAAGGTTCATTGTTATGTCTTCTGGTTTCCAAATGAGTTTTTACTCGTGTGCCTTCATCTGCAACAGGGGCACTTATTCTAAAAGCATATATTATGTCAAAGCAAATGTTTTGAATCTTAACTTTGTTGTTTGTGTAAAATGAAGGTGTTGAAAACACTTGCTATGAGTATTTTAGATGTTTAACTTAATTGATCAATATCTTGTATATTCTAATGTTTAAAAATAAATCTTATAAAAAAACAACCGCATTTAGGCAAACACAAAAGAGTGTGTTATTCGCAGAAGTCTCTTTCACACATCTTTCAATAGAAGCTGAATGACAAACAGAACGCAAGGGAAATGATATTCAAATATGTGTGCAGGTAACTTCATAGACTGTCGTGACATAGTGCTTCAAGTAAAAGGGAAACAAGAGGAAAGGAAATGGTGGAATTGTACACCACCTAAAGAGTCAAAGAAATCCTCATCCTGCCACAATGAGTATAAAAGCCTTGTTTCAGGATGTCACAAAGCAGAAACACCTTCATGTTTCATTCAACACCTCCTTCGCCACATTGTTTGTCTTGGTGAATACAGGATATTGATAACATGGGAGGGTTTTACCTCTTTCTTCAGTGGTGTAGGATTTCCACCATTGAACTTTGTATTTAATATGACTGTATACCTGATATAACAATGACCCCACCCGACGAAACTACCATAAAGTTGGTCACAAAGTATTGAATGTGTGCAAAGTGCGATCATCTTTGTGAATCCTTCTTACAATGGGAATCTATATTGTAAAAGCCATTGGAGGTTATTGCTTGACGGACAATTAGCCTAAACAAGTGCCTGCAAACTATCAAAAATGTCTCGCCTGTTCTTCATTTTATCCCTGGTGGATCTGTTTAAGACAATTAGTTAGTTGGTTGGTAAACATCAGTTCAATTGCAACTTTTTGTTAATCAATTAATATGTTTGAGTTGTTTTTTTAAGAATAAAAAGTCCAAACTCTCAAATTCAGCTTTAAAAAAGGCTCAACAATTCAAAAATGTTCATCCTCTCTATGACAGTAAACTCAATATCTTCGGGTTGTGAATAAAACATAAGATTTTAGGAAGTCAGTTGGACTTTGGGAAACACTGAACAACATTTTTCACAATTAAAATAATCTTTGGTTGAAGCCTGAACTTTTTCAGATGTATGTAGCATGTTCAGCATTAACAAATAACTTCCAGAATACTTTCTACTACACGGATACATCTCACACAATCTCAATTTCTAAGTTAAGTTTTCCTGAGTTAACAACTAGTACATGCATTTAGTTAAGAGGCTTGTATTTCAGGCATCAACTTTAACACCCTACTAAACAATTGTATCACACAGTAGAAGGAAGCAGTCACTTATTTCAGAACAATGCGCATTATCTTTTTGAGATGCCTTGTTCTCATTTGGTAGCCTACATGTAAGTGCATGCAACGATGTCATCAACATTGCTTAAGTGTTTATTCATAATGATCAGTAGCTTAGTATTGCTTCACTGGAGAGGTATTACAGTGTCGGGCTTAGTGGAAGCACAGACAACACTAGAAGCTCAGTTTAAAAAATGAAGCAAACTTATTTCTGTGAAATGGCTAAAGCTCAGGCCCATGTTTCACAGGAAGTTAGAACATGTAGAAAACAACAAGCCAGCCCAGTCTAACCCAACAAAAATCAGCTGTTTTTGCATTGATTACTCCTTGTGTCAAAGTTCAGTCGTAAACCCACAGCCTTCATACTCGCTGATACACAAGATATTAAGTGTAAAGTGTGCCCGTGTAAACAGCAACATGTCCTGTTTTTGTCAGAAAGGACATAGTTAAGTGGAGCAGAGATTAACTGCAGGAAGGAGGAAAACTTCTCCGGCCTGTAACGCCACAACACTTGAATGTTTATGAAAGTTAAGATGTTTAAATGCATCAGCTGATCGGGGTAACGTGTTGAGCATGCCCTCTTTTGACTCACCTCACGCGTTGATAAATCCGTGACAACAACACGTAGTCATTATTTAGCCCGAAGCGGCGGCTGGAGCTGATCCGATGATGACAACTCCTCCGCTGGACAAATATGTCTGAAACTGCACCGCGCTGTGATTAACTTGACACCGCGGTGCTCACAGGTGCCTCCCCCTTTTCCTCTCATCCACCCCTGAAGAGCATTTCCGACCTCACATTTTACTACTCCCTACCGAGGAGCACAAACACACATTCCTCGCAGACACAACCACAGGAGAACCGGACGCAGTCGACGTCACCTCGGGGAGCGGGTTGCCCTCCTTCACGATCCCACAAACACTGACAGCAAACCGGGATCAATAAGACCCCAATGCCTCCCTGTCCTGCCCGGTGCCAGGGTCTCTGTGGTACCGGAGACAAACTCGCCGACCACGCAGCCCCAAACAAGTACAATCACAAGCTCCAGCACAACTTACAATCCGCTTAACTTACCCCCTTTTACATCCTGTTCGACCCCGGCGTGTTGTTGTCTCCCCCCGCGGTGTTAGGACCGACGACCGCTCGGCGAAGCGGTTGAAAAATTGATAAGAGAGAATTGCTGGTTATAAATAGTCATGATACCCCTCCGGTGTACCGCTGAGTGGTCCGTGCAAGCCCCAGGAAATACGTCACGGCCACGGACAAAGTGGAGCCGTTGGAGCAACACCTCCTAGCGGACAGCGGCGCGGCGACACCTCCACCTGCCGGCCAGCCGCGGAACTGCACCCTCCTCCGCAGACACGATCATTTATTCCCAGATGGATGGGGAACACAGATGGAAACACTTGATAGATGCACAGGATGATGCCAGAAAATGCCATCTTTATTGAGAAAACAGTTTTTGCTAGTAAAAGGGCAACAAGGGACGAAGGGGGAAGGAGGGGAGTTGGATTGTTGATTTTGATGCTCTAATTGGTGCTTTTTCTGCATCAATTCATGCTAGGAATGTCTTTATTTACACTCCAGGTGACAATTCAAAATTGAATTCAATGCATTTACTGTAGGCTCTGATATACTCTGTCCTGCTTTCACATATTTACTTGTAACTATGTGTTACTGAGCATCACAGATTAGGCATTTAATGGTTGCATTGAGCAGGTTATACAGGTTGTCAAAATAAAATGTCATGTTTTTATTGATCATCTTCTAAATATTAAGAGGGTTGTGTCCCATGCATGCCCCCACATCCTCTGATGAGCAAATTAATCTGGTCCCAGGTTTTCTGTGTGTCAGAGTTTGTGATAATTAAATTAAACCAAACTTGATTGGAAATATGCACTAGGGGGCTGCCCTCGCCGTCAACCATGAACCGCAACATCCCTGGTTCCTCGTCCGGCCTCTTCTCTCTCTCCCTCTTTCTCTCCCTCGCTCTCTCTCCCCCTCTCTCTATCCTCTCATTTTCTGTAATTATTCAACTGGAACTAATACTGTAAGGCACAAAGTATTGAATGTGTGCAAGTGCTAAAAAAAAAACTAATAATTGAAAATAAGACATGTGAGGCCAATAACTGCTTATTGGTTCAACAATTAACACAAATTACATTTTCATAAGGAGCCCCTGTACAACACAAAGCTATAACATGTGCTAATATTTCCCTCCTGCCCTTATAGATATTGTACTTTAGTGGGTCAGATTCTATAACAAAAGAATTGAAAAAGAAGAATGAACAGGCAGTGAACCATGGGGGCAGTTGCTTGCTTTGCCTGGTTGGTAATCTGACCTCTTTCCTTCTACGCACATAAACCAAAGGGCGCTGTTTAATCATCAACGTTTCAGAGAATAGGTTAAAAATGGAACAAAAATATATCACAATGAAAATAGGATAGACACTAATAGATACCACCATGAGACTTTCCCAGTTAATTACTTACAGTAAGAGCAAACATTTGTGTTTTTAATTTAGAGAAAAATATACAGACAAATAGACAAACTGTAGCAGTTGTAACTTGACTAGTGCTGTCACTTAAAGTCCAGTCACAGTGTCGCAGTTCTCAAAACATGGAAAGCACATAATCTGCGTGCAGGGGCATCAAGAGGGATTAGTAAATCATCAGATTTACAGATTGGCAGTCTATAACAGTTCTGATACTTAACCTATCCCCTCGTGACGTTTTTAATGCTAAAGAACAGATACAAAACATTCATGTTATCTCAGTTTGTACTCTAAATATAGCAATCATTATATAATCTCTCAGAGGAGATGAAATATTTGCTACAAACATACAGGAAGTATAGAAGACATTGAACTTGAACTTGTTTAGTTCAATAAAATACAATCTCAAGTGGTTTTGTTTGACTACACATGATGAAACGTTTCAAAAGCCCTGTTCTCTGTCACACAAACATGTATTATTGCATTGTTTCCTATAATTGTTCTATCAAAAGAATATTAAATATAGTACCATCTCATACACTTATCTATTCTCAAGTGGATAGCTGCAATAAAAGAGAAACATGTGCAGCAGAGCACAATCAAGAGCGATGTAAATTAAAGGAACAACTCACAAAGGAAACAGAACAGTTCAAAATATTTATTTGAAGTACAAATATGTTGTTACCAAGGGAGGTCAAGGGACAATTACTCTCATTCCAGCTTGTTAAATGAGTTGCCATAACAAGAGGCACAGAGCCAGTGAGCGGATAGAGAAGCTGTCTGCTGCTGGAGCCGAGTTTCTCCCTGTGGAAGCAGAAACACAGCATTTATTATCACCTTATTTACACCTCATAAAAACCTGTGAGTGCAAACAAGTAATATAAAAGATATGCACTCACAAACATTTCATCAAGTAAACAAGACAACCTCATTATGAAGGAGGTTATTAAAAATACATTTTATCCTTCTAATGTTTTTTTTAAAGACACACCTCTCAGCTCCAGCAGTACGTCTCCTTCATATCTTGCGAGGCCAACAGCGTGCCTCTGCTCGGTGTCCAGCTCTGCCCACTGCTCCTCGGAGACGGCCCACGCCTGCTCCGCACTCAGCCACGACATCTGAACAGCACTGAACACCACCTGTCAAACACACACACACACACACACACACACACACACACACACACACACACACACACACACACACACACACACACACACACACACAATACTGTAATTCGAGAGGAGACACTTATGAACCTATTAGGGGTGTTGGGATATACTGGTATTAACCATTTTTGTCAAAATACACTCTTGATAATATTGTGTAAAAGATCCAGCACCTCTTAAAAAAATCCCTTTCTGTTCTGACTTTGTCTTCCTCCCAAACATCCAATATACAAATTAATATAATTAGTTTGCCAAAAAAAGAGAGAAAATACATCAAACAAAGGCAAAGGTTAATTTATAGATATGGAAATAACACTTTTACTTTTGAAACTTTAAGTGCACTTTGCTGGTAATACTTAAAGTGGACCTATCATGCTATATTTGAATAATATAGTGTAGGACCATACCTATATAAGGCATATTTATACTTTTTTTTTTTCAAAATACCAAACAGATTTTAGCCATGCCTCATTTTGCTCAATTTGACATTTTTTAGCTCTGTTTTTGCAAGGGCAGATTATGTGAGAACAGCACCATCTAGAGGCCTGGCATATGTACTACAGTGTCTCCAGCGCTTTCGAACGGCAATGGCCGTGGCTGTCTCCTCCTGATTGGTGGAGTTGGCCCAATAGCCGTAGCGCCACTGTCCTGACGTCAGGACAGTGTTCAAATCTGGATCAGTTTTTATCAGATCCGTTGCAGCCCCTTTTTTAGAGATTTGGGTATGGAGGAAAATAGAGAGGGTTGTGTTTTCTGACACTTGGTGAGTTCCCTGGAACACCGGGGACACATATTCATGTATAAAAGACGTACAAAAGTGCATTTTGCATGATAGGTCCCCTTTAAAATGTATACTTGGGTAAGGTTTTTATTTGTGGTGGAGTATTTTCTCAGTGATAGATTCATACTTTTAATTATTTCAAGAATTTAAGTACTTTCTTCCCCACAACAGCAAAATCAAATCAAACCTTAATTTATTTATTTATTTTAAATACCCTTATTTTTCCTAATGTAACAAGTCAAAAAAGTTATTGATTCATTGCTTTGACACTTTTATAAGGCGTTGATTGTTGTTGAAGTAAAATGTCATATCTTAAAAGTATGAGAGATTTGCCATTAGTGCAATATATATAATGTAATTAATATACCTTTATAATGAAGCTATAGAGTGTCTTGTAGTTTAGCTTGAATTAATTAGCCATAGAATCGTGGTTCACACTCACTGCCATTTTTCTCGGGGACATCAGGGCGATGGCTCCAGGTGAGATTCCCTCCACCTGTTCTTGTACCAGAGCTGACAGCACCATGTCCTCCAGGCCCACTGGACAGAGACACAAACAATATTTAGTCGGAAAATAATCTTCTTCTTGTAAAATCACAGGTAGTATAAACATTTGTCGAAACTTGTATATACGCTCAGGGATATTTTTAATTGCAACTTTCCATCCAGGAGCTGTCGTTTCCTGCTTGCACCCTCCTCACTTAAAACAATTTAAGAAAAGGTTTATCACAAAAACGTTCATACCCCGAAGCATATTATGTTCCATTGTACCTGCTAATGTCCCAATTTCCGTGAAAACTTCTGGTCCCCAAGCACTGAGTGGACCAAAGGCCTCAGGTCTGGACAAACGGCTTGTCAACGCCTCCATCTGCTGCTCCGTGCACGGCAGGGACGTCTCCCGCAGGAACAGGACAGCCAGACTGCAGTGTGAGAAAACGATTTAGCACTTTATCCTCCTCTGGGTATGCAGAATGTTTTATGAGTGTTGTGCTTCTAAGAAATGCGCACAAGCCTCCTGTTATTTAGCAACTGTAGGCAGGTGGATGTAAAATCAATGTATGTCTCTCTGAAACCTAAAGCAAGTCATTCTGTTATGGTATTTAAAGGATTTATACTTTTTTATCAATGCTGCTCAGTAGTGTTGTGTAGGTGCAGTATTCGTCAACATCTTTGGACTGTATGTGGTGGACGTACTCAGATCACTTATTAAGGATAACATAGACATACTTAGTGTTTAAATACTCTGTTACAGTCCTGCATTCAAGTAGAAAAGTGTAAGCATTCAAATGTAATTAAAGTATAATAAGTAAATGTACTCATTCCTCAGAATCATATAATAGAAAATAGAAAATAGCCTCAAATGGAAATAAATATATAAATAAATACCTGTACTTTAGTAAATGTATTTTTTAAGATTTTAGCACTGGGTATATGTTCATCTTTGTTTTGATGCCATTTACCTGTATTGTATATATGTCACAATTATTTTTGACTACATATTGCTGAGTGTGATCCTTCTTTTATAGCGTGTTATTTGGTCTTGTTTGGTCTTGTAAATTGTTCCCCATGCAGATGGCACCTTGTATGGCGGCCTCTGCCTCTGTGTGAACCGGGGAATGCTGACTTGTATTTGTAAAAGCACTTTGAGTGGTTGTAAAGACTGGAAAAGTGCTATATAAATTCAGTCCATTTACCACTAACCATTTACCATTTATACTTTAGGTATGTGACCGACCTGAGGTTGTAGGCGCTCAGTCTTCTGATCTCTGAGGGATACAGGCCACACATCAGATGGCCAA